TGATTTTACCAGATTTTAAATTAAACACACAAAAGTTAATATAGTCACTGTATGTCCTGAAATATCGTGCAGTTACCTTCAATGTCCAGTTTTGTCCCATTTCCAAATAATATCTGTCCACATGCGGCCACAGCACAGTAATAAGTCCCAGCATCAGAGGAGCTGACGTTCCTGGAGAAGCTGTAGACACATGTCTGTGGAGAATGAGTCTCTGGACTCTTTTCACATTGATCACTGCCGTTTCTTTGGGCATAAATGACACCGGGATGAGATTCATCTGATCCTGGTTTGAACCAGTACACACTTTGTTCTCCTGGACATATTTTAAGCTCAGAGTCAGAGAAGACTGAACACTGTAAAGTCACTGAGTCTCCTGGACGGACTGGATCAGATGGAGGGACCTGAACAATGGCAGTGATATTTGGTTCTGGTCCTGCAAAAAACATTAGAAAAAATGTGCTTCACTCACTTTAGTAAAAAAAAAAAAGTGTTAAAATATTAATGTTTTAAAACACTTTACTATAAATTATAATGCAATATATTTGGAAATACATGTAGAAAAGTAACTGTTTAATCGCTGTCATAAATGTGTTGAACCATGAAACATCTGATTGCTGTCTTTTATTTACCTTTGATTCTCAGAAATGTTGCATTTATAAAATTCATGTCCAGTAGGTCAACTTTCATACAGTAGTAAACTCCAGTATCACTTTGCTTTGTTTCACTAATGTGCAGAACAAAGGTTCCAGGCTCTTGTTTTGCTGTAATGCGAGGAGTCTTATTAACACCAACATAATCAAAGGAATATGTTCCTCCCAAGACTTCAGGGAAGCCTCCAGAAACAAGTCTGATCCAATGCAAGGTTGCATCATAATCAGATGTCTGTCGAGTACATGTCAAATTCACATAATCTCCAACACCAACAGTCTTTGTTGCAAAGATCACATCATCTGTGCAGCCTATAAATAAAATGAGATACAGCAGTGATTAATGCCAGAGACAAATCTATATAAAGTTTGCACTGTGATAAATTGATGCAAGAAGATGAAGAAAATACTTAAAATATATTTTCCAAAATATATATGGAGAAAAAAGCAGATTGTATATACTTACACCCCACTTTGAATAAGAGTAAATAGAATATGATCAGCATTTTCCTCTGAATCCACTTAAGACAGCAGGTAATTCACACTGCATTGTAAGACGATTTACTACCGTGTAACCATACGAAGTGGGAGGGTGCAATTTCAAAACAATCTCATTGGCTTCTCATTGGCATTTCACTTTACCACCACAGTGGAAATAAAATCAGCCATCCTTCCACCTTAAACACACAAAACAACAACAACAGCAGGTTTTGTTTTACGTGTCATGGTTGGTTTCTGTAACTGACACTGAGAGTAAAGACAACAGATTGTTTGACTTGATGTGAACTCCACTGATCCACAGCAAGGTTGTTCACAACATTTCCTTTTTTCCCATAATATCTGGAAGATGTTTGAGCTGATACTCTCTATGGTCCAGCTGTTTAGGACATACAGAAATGCCACCCTGTCCCATTTTTCCTTGAGGCAGCCATGAATTTCCTTTAACACAAAAGGAAGGATTGTGGACACCGCATGACACAACACTGCACATTTTTATGTTGTACATCCTTGTACTGTTATACTACCATAGTTTTTAGAGTTGCAGCCTGGTTTCCAGAAACGCTAATAGGGGTGACTTTATCAGTGGTTCATGAGGTTTGTCACTGTCCAACATAATTTACTAAAGTCACTGATGCCCTGTAAATTGGTTCATTAAGCCAAAAAAAATCCAAAGAAGTTAAGAGACAATTTACCAAAGAAACCTTACACTCACTGGTGATGATTTTAAATGTTCTATTTCCATCTCCAAAGAAGTTAAGAGACAATTTACCAAAGGAACCTTACACTCACTGGTGATGATTCTAAATGTTCTATGTCCATCTCTGCACAGTGGTAGCACTCCTTTCAGCATCATTCAGCTGTTTTCATGCTTCCTTGTGGTAGTGGTGGCGTGGCAGTGACCTGGCAGGCTGCATCCTCCTCGCTGGTCTCTGGCTGGCCTCACTGTGCAGTGGCCATGACCCTGGGCATGGAGCTCCACCTCACTGCAAAGGCAGTAAGGTTCTGGGGTGGGCCACCTGCACATGCAGTCTAAGCTTGTCAGGGATGACAGCCTAGACAAACTGATCTCTCACCAACTCACCCTGGATGGCAGGTGGCATGGAGGTGTAGGCGTGCCGGCCCAGGCTCTCGACATTGTAAGCCAAAACACAGAGGGATTCTCCCAGCAGCTGGGTGTGGTGTCTAAACTCATTGTGTAGGGCATCTTGCAGGTCCAGGTCTCTGAAGCGCACTCACCAGGGCTCAGTAATTGCTCCACTAAGCAACAGCTGACATGTCTGGGCATCCTCCATTAGCGACAAAGCCAGCTGTGGTGCCTTCACCTCCTCTGACCAGTGGGCAGCAGCAGCCACCATTTCAAAATAAGCGAGATATGGCTTCCAGCAGCCCTTGCCAGAGAACTTTGGCATTTTTGGCATTTCTGGTCGGGTCATCATCGAGGTTGGGGTTGGTCCTGCTGCCCTACCTTGGACTGACCTGCTTGCAATTCCAGAACAGCTGGCTGGCTGTGGGACCCCACGAAGCCAGGGTTGTGATCACTGAGCACAGTTCCTCTGCCTTACCTGGTGGGGAACACTGGCTCCATCACAGGTCTCATTTTGGTGGGCCGCTGCTAAGAGCAGGGTGGCAGGCAGTTCCCCGGCAGCTGCGGGGGCTTCTGCTTCGTTTCACCTGCCTCTCGCTTCTGTCAGCTGCTGTGGCTCTTCCCCATACCACTTCTGGCACCAGTGTAGCATAAGCTAGTTTGAGGAAGGAGCCAGAGACGGAGGTTGCCTGTTACTGTGCTTTCCCGAGGCCAGGGAAGCCACTCTTTTATTAACACACACACACACACAGACAGCTGAACACAGCAGCCAGGGTGCCGAACAATCCTCGCCACCCCGAACTAAATACATGGTGTTTAGAAGGGTATTATGGGGGATCCCACCAGGTGCTCACCCCAAGGCATTCTGGGGGACGCCACCACGCGTCTCTCTGCCCCCAAAGCTACAGTACAGTACATCTCTATCATTCTTAGCAGCACATGCGATTTGATGACAATATGTAATTCCTTCAGTACTGTAACTTCATGCAACTTCTGCTTGACTAATGCGGGGCCTTTAAAGTCAAGGTCAAGCTTTTTGTCACGCCACATGAACACCACAGTACAGTAGTTCCACTGCCACTGCGCATTTGCATTGGATGCAAATCATGTACTGCAGAAAAATCCATGTAGTTCTTTTTAAGACTCTCATATTCAAACATTTAGATTTAATGACTGTGGGATTTATATATCAAAACCTCTGTCAAAGCCTCTGCTGCTGTTACATTATCACTAAACATACAATAGTGGCTTTTTGTGTGGTTGCAGTATTTTAATACTTAGACTATAAGAGGTTACATTTTAGAGAAAGGACTGACACAATAACTTTTACTTACAAATGGTTCATGTGTAATGTATCTGTAATTTTAAATTGTGTGTCCCCAAATCAATATTTAAAATCCTACAACATTATTCTTCCCACTTACTTAGACAGGAATGTCATCAACCTTAATGAACTGTGTGCATTCAAAAAAGATTGGGCATTTACCTCAGTGACACACAAACACAGAGGAGCCATTTCAAATACCGTGTGACCCAGAAGCTCCACATCATCACTGAGGACCCTCCCACTCTTCATGTCAGTCACTTCAAGGAAGAGCATAAGAAGTAGGGGAGGTGTTTGTGGTCACACCATCCCCTTTACTCTCTCTGTCTCTGAGGGGACTGCTAAAAGGCAGCAGCAGAGCAACATTCTCACAACATCACACTCAGACATGCTCACTTGAAAGTGTTGAAGAGTTTCTGATTCAGTTGGCATGCACGTCCTGGTGTGAGGGAGGGAAGTCATGTGAACCTGCAAGAAAACAATGAATAAAATAACTCAGCTGAAACATAAACCCAAGACTCTGTAGAGAGGCTGCATGAGGGACTATGCCAACAGTGTTAATAAAAGGGACATTTTCTCTTGTAGCAAAAAAATAAAATAACTATGATTATAAACATAAAGATGTCCAGAGTTACCCCTTGTACAGTGGTGGACAGATTCTCAATACCAGTGAGAGGAACATGTAATAATACTGTTGTATTTCGGTTCTTTTTACCATGCTAACTCTGAGAGACAAGACAATCCAAGTAGCTTCAAAACAGTGCTGATTTATTCAATGAACACAGGTAAAATTAACATTACACGATCAGATATCTTGCACCTCAAACATGCACACAGGCAGCTGAAAGATGAAAGACCCTGAACCCACCAGGCCTATACATTTATCTCTTC